AAAAAGAAGGCAAGGAACTTTCCTACCTCATGGAGATTAAAAACCACACTACTGGAAGACCACTGGACTAATGAGGAGATCAAAGAAGAAATTAAAAAATTTTTTGAATTGAACGACAAGGAGGACACCAATATCCTAAATGTATGGGATGCAGCAAAAGCAGTAATAAGAGGAAAATATATAGCAATAGAAGCTCACATCAAGAAACAAGAAAGAACTCAAAGAAACAACCTAATCTCGAAGCTCAAAGATCTAGAAAAAGAACAACAAAAAACCCCAGAACCAGTAGAAGAAAAGAAATAATAAAAACCAAAGCAGAAATAAATGAAATTGAAACTAAAAAAACAATCCAAAAGATCAATGAAACCAAGAGCTGGTTCTTTGAAAAAATCAATAAAATAGACAAACCCCTAGCCAGGCTCACAAAGGAAAAAAGGGAGAAAGCACAAATAAACAGGATCATCAATGAAAGAGGAGAAATCACAACGGACACAGCAGAAATCAAAACAATAATCAGTAACTACTATGAACAGTTATATGGAAATAAGTTTAATAATCTAGAGGAGATGGACAAATTCCTACAACTCTACAATCACCCAAAGCTAGATAAAGAAGAAATAGAACACCTAAACAGACCAATTACAATTAGCGAAATTGAAATGGTAATCAAAAACCTCCCCAAAAACAAAAGCCCAGGACCTGATGGATTTACAAATGAATTCTACCAAACATTCAGAGACGAATTAGTGCCTATCCTTCACAAACTCTTCCAAAAAATTGAGAAGGAAGGGACAATACCAAACACGTTCTATGAAGCCAATATTACACTAATACCAAAACCGAACAAGGACAACACTAAAAAGGAAAACTATAGGCCAATCTCCCTAATGAACACTGATGCAAAAATCCTCAATAAAATTTTAGCCATCAGAATCCAACAATGTATCCATAAGATAATTCACCACGACCAAGTAGGATTCATTCCAGGGGCACAAGGATGGTTTAACATCCGAAAATCAATCAACGTTATCCAACACATCAACAAAAAGAAATATAAAAACCATATGATAATATCAATAGATGCTGAGAAAGCTTTCGACAAAGTGCAACACCCATTCATGATAAAAGCCCTTGAAATTCTGGGGATACAAGGAACATACCTCAACATCATAAAGGCCATCTATGACAAGCCAACAGCCAGCATCATTCTCAATGGTGAAAAGCTGAAAGCAATTCCATTAAGATCTGGAACAAGACAAGGATGTCCACTCTCACCACTGCTTTTCAATATAATACTGGAAGTCCTAGCCAGGGCAATAAGACAAGAGAAAGACATCCAAGGAATCCAAATAGGAAAAGAAGAAGTCAAACTATCACTATTTGCAGACGATATGATATTATACATAGAGAACCCCAAAAACTCCACAGAAAAGCTAATTCAACTCATCAATCAGTTCAGTAAAGTGGCAGGATACAAAATCAACATGCAAAAGTCAGTAGCCTTCCTATACACAAACAATAAATCTGAAGAAGAAGAAATCAAAAAAACCATCCCTTTTGTTATTGAAACAAAAAAAATCAAATATTTGGGAATAAATCTAACAAAAGAGATAAAGGACCTATACAAAGAAAACTATAAAACACTGTTAAAAGAAATAGAAGAAGACACAAAGAAATGGAGAGACATCCCCTGCTCGTGGATTGGAAGAATAAACATTATTAAAATGGCCATCCTTCCAAAAGCAATATACAGATTCAATGCTATTCCAATCAAAATTTCAATGTCATTCTTCAAAGAAATAGAACAATTATTGATGAAATTCATATGGAATCATAAAAAACCCCGAATAGCCAAAGCTCTCCTGAAAAAAAAAGAAGGGAATGGAGGCATTACACTCCCAGACTTCAAACTATACTACAAAGCCATAATCATCAAAACTGCATGGTATTGGAACAAGAACAGACATACAGACCAATGGAATCGAATAGAAAATCCAGAAATAAATCCACAGATTTATGGTCAACTAATCTTTGACAAAGGAGCAAAGACTATGCATTGGAGCAAAGAAAGTTTGTTCAATAAATGGTGCTGGGAAAACTGGGTCGCTACATGCAAAAGAATGAAGCTTGACCACTACCTCACACCATACACAAAAATCAACTCAAAATGGATTAAAGAACTAGACATAAGACCTGAAACCATAAAATATATAGAAGGAAATATAGGCGAAACACTACGTGATCTGCACATCAAAGACATCTTTACAGACACATCACCCAAAGCAGTGATAGTGAAGGCAAAGATAAACAGCTGGGACTACATCAAATTAAAGAGCTTCTGCACAGCAAAAGAGACAATAACAAAAACAAAGAGAAACCCCACTGACTGGGAGAACATTTTTGCACCCAACACTAATGATAAAGGACTGATCACAAAAATCTGCAAAGAGCTGATGAGACTCAGCAACAACAAAGAAAATAATCCAGTCAAAAAATGGGCAGAAGAGCTAAAAGAAACTTCTCTGAAGAGGAAATGCAAATGGCCAACAGGCATATGAAAAAATGTTCAACATCACTTGCCATCAGGGAAATGCAAATCAAAACTACCATGAGATACCATCTTACACCAGTGAGAATGGCACATATTAAAAAAACTAGCAACAACAAATGCTGGCGAGGGTGTGGAGAAAAAGGAACTCTTCTGCACTGTTGGTGGGAGTGCAAACTGGTCCAACCACTGTGGAGAGCTGTGTGGAGATTTCTGGACCTACTAAACATAGAGCTTCCATATGATCCAGCAATTCCACTCCTAGGTATTTACCCAAAGGACACAGAAACATCAATTCCAAAGAACACCTGCACCCCTATGTTTATAGCAGCACTGTTTACAATAGCTAAGCTTTGGAAACAGCCCAAATGCCCAAAAATAGATGACTGGATCAAGAAGATGTGGTACATATATACCATGGAATATTACTCAGCATTCAAAAAAGATAAACACATGCAATTTGCAGCAACATGGATGGCGCTGGAAGGGATCATGCTCAGCGAAATAAGCCAAAAAGAAAAAGAAAAATACCGGATGGTCTCACTCATAGCAGGAATCTAGAAAACTTAAATAAGGGACCAGGAAAATGAATAACTATAAGAAAGTGAAAATCAAAATCAACAAAAAACTATGAACCAGAGACACTTTTAGGCGGGCGGGGCGGGAGGGGAGGGATTGGGGTCAGAATGGGGGGCTGCAATTGTATGGGGAATATAACAATAAAATTTTATAAAAAAAAAAAAAAAAAAAAACTACTATGAGATACCATCTTACACCAGTGAGAATGGCACATATTAAAAAACTAGCAACAACAAATGTTGGCGAGGGTGTGGAGAAAAAGGAACTCTTCTGCACTGTTGGTGGGAGTGCAAACTGGTCCAACCACTATGGAAAGCTGTGTGGAGATTTCTGGACCTACTAAACATAGACCTTCCATATGATCCAGCAATTCCACTCCTAGGTATTTACCCAAAAGACACAGAAACATCAATTCCAAAGAGCACCTGCACCCCTATGTTTACAGCAGCACTGTTTACAATAGCTAAGCTTTGGAAACAACCCAAATGCCCAAAAATAGATGACTGGATCAAGAAGATGTGGTACATATATACCATGGAATATTACTCAGCATTCAAAAAAGATAAACACATGCAATTTGCAGCAACATGGATGGCGCTGGAAGGGATCATGCTCAGCGAAATAAGCCAAAAAGAAAAAGAAAAATACCGGATGGTCTCACTCATAACAGGAATCTAGAAAACTTAAATAAGGGACCAGGAAAATAAATAACTTTAAGAAAGTGAAAATCAAAATCAACAAAAAACTATGAACCAGAGACACTTTCAGGGGGCGGGGCGGGAGGGGAGGGATTGGGGTCAGAATGGGGGGCTGCAATTGTATGGGGAATATAACAATAAAATTTATTATTTAAAAAAAAAAAAAGACTGATTGTCTTGTACTTTTAAACATAATACATTAAGAAACATGAACTCTTCAAGATAATTTTCCTAAGCCATTTAGTATTTGATTATGAGTAGTTGAAGAATAGGTATATTTGGGGGAAAAAAAATCAATCTTAGCCATGATCCCAAAAAGTTGCAGTAAAATTATACTTTCTTCTATAATTCATAATTTGAAATCCCTAATAAAACAGGAGAAAAATGAAACAGTATTAGAGGAAATGAAAGGAGACCTTTTATTCTTTATATTTCGGTGTTCTTTTTTCAGTAACAAGTACATATATCACTTTCATCATTAATAGATATACATCTCAAATAATCATATAAAACATTTCACATTATCCGAAATCCTAATTCTATAAAGGTGGCTTTGTCATAAAACGACTAAAGTCTGAGTCTTAAAACCTCAATCATTAAGCACAGCTTCTGGTTCAAAGTAGATGTTTGATAAATATCTGCTGAATGAATTAAAGTAGGACTATGATAGCAGAATTAACAGATTTTTCTGTAAGAAAGAACTTACTGTATACTTCTTTTAGAAAGTCACATAATAAAGCTGAAGTAAGCAAGTATAGACTTCAAAAAATAAGTTTTTTTTTAAAAGATTTATTTATTTATTCATACAAGAACTGGGGTACAGGCCAAGAGGTGTGGGGGGTGACAGGATTCAACAGAGACAGAGTGGGGAACAGAACAGGCAGAATGACTGAAATACACTGCTGAGGGGAGCAGCGGGCGAGTCAGGAGAGGTCTGCTGAGCCATGTGGATTGCTCCCGGGCTGGCCAGGGGATCGAATTCGTGCTGCAGAGGCTGCGGACAGCTTCATAGGTTGCATCTTAACCCCTTGCGCTACCAGGGAGACCCTCAAAAACTAAGTTTTAGAGCCAAAGTCATGGGGTATGCAACCACTAGGGAGTGCATTGTTATGATAGGGGCAGGTCTCACTACAAGTTAATTTTTAGGTCACTGAACTTGAATTTAAAATACTTACTTTCTCTGTATTCTATTTCTGCTTCTTTACGCAGTTTTTTTTCTCTGGCAAGAGCTTCAAGGCTTCCCCAAACTTCCAAAGATCTGTGCATACACACATTGACCAGAAAAGGACAATTTTAATGATTTAATTGTAATCCTATTAAAATCAAGATATATCATCCCTACATAAAAATCTTACATCAAAGCATAAGTTCCTTTAGGGAAAATATAAAGCACTTAAGCAACTTTTCTAAATTAAACAATCAGTAAATTCAACAGCAATTTTTCTTATATATTACATTTTTAGTTAATTAGTAGATGCCAGTAACTAACAGATGAACAAATTTGCAAATATAAAAATATTCTGCTTTTAAAACACATCATCTAAAAAACCATGAATCTATCTAAAACGTGTTTCTATTAATCCCAAATCCAACTTGTACATTAATTCTGAAAGAACTATGTTCTTACTTTGCCTCCACATCTGATCTCAAATATACAGTAAATGATTCAGTATCTTCATGGGGACTTCGCCGTCTGATTTTTCGAAGTTGTTCTAGATCACTGAAGAAAGAAACTTGTTGAAGCATTCAAATTTCATATAGTTTATATACTTAAAATGATTATTAACAGCAGATAAATTCATTACATTGATCCTCATCTTACAAAACAATCCATCTTTATAACTTTTAAAATCAGTTAAAAGACTACATTTTAAACACAAAAATTGGTCTAGAGAGAGTGTGAAAAATTTTTTTCTAACTTTCTAGTAATTAAGAGGTTATGTCAATTTCACGTTATTTAATTATTCTACTATCTTTTAAAATTACAAAAGATTTCATCAAATAGCCTCTTACGTGTGATCATTGGTCTTCGTAAGTAAATTGTGTTATGCAATGAAAAGACCTATAAATAAAACTCTGGCAACTATAGAATTTTATTAATTTCTAAAAATTAAACCTAGAGCTAAAAAAAACCAACAACCAGCCATCATAATTTTCGTTTTAAAAGTTGGGTCAGGTATAAAAAGATATCTACTGCAGATTCTTTCCTGTCACAGGCTCACTAAATGAGCTCAGTCATCACTAACATCTTTGTTTCCTGGCAATACCTAAGCTACTCAATTCATAAATTGCTTGCAAGAACTAAATGAAAAACTCTTGTGATATAGAATATAGTTTTATATTAATATTATCATCTATTATTGTTATAATAGTTATATAAGTTATAAAACTGATTATAGGAATCCTTATTTCTTGATGCTGATGAAAGAGGATGGGATCATGAGGGAAAAAGGTCGGAGAATCTCTCTAATCAAGTAGATGCCACATTAATAAGGCTTGTCTAGGTAAACATAAAGGCAGAGGAGATTTTAAAATTTGACAAATATAATCTCAATCTCTATTATAAGAAAATTAGTAACAAAATGTACCAGAAAGTAAAAATAATACATATTCAGCAGGTACCACAGTTAGCGGATGAACATAAATATACCTAACTAAATTAAGTAATCAACTGTGCTAGCCAAAACATTAACAAAATTTTGAAAAGTCAAACATACAAATATGCAAATAATCTGACTGATAATTCTGCCACACAATAACAATGTTATTTCAATAAAACTCCTAAATATGTCTGTGATAGAGGTTTTGAAAAAGTTTCCTTTTTATAAAGCCTGGAAAGAATAAAATTGCTAATGCTGAAGGAGAATTCAGTTTAGTAAGCTAACACATTTAACACTTTTTAAGTGAATAAAAAATACTTCTTCAATTTAGGATGGAGCCACAAAAAATTTCCATATAAATGGTAGCAGGTTACACATCCTAAGAAAAAAAATGATTAGATAGACAAAAGCGTCAGGTTTTTTTTTTTTAAATACCTGGATTTAAGGCAGAACTCATTTATTGCTCTGACACCAGTGATGAAATTATTTTGAGTGTACTTTGGTCCATACTCCCTCTTTTTAAGGACTGCTTTAACTAAAACAAAAAATATAGGAAAACAAAAATAGTCACAATGAAAATTACAATTGAAGATGACCATATGCTAGGGGGTTGCTGATGAATTCCAAAGAATATTTATTTTTCTTGAAGTACTGAAAGGCATTTAAAAAACAAAAATTTGCAAGTACAGAATAAGACAGAATTATATTGCAGACACAGAACTTTTATCTTCACAGTCCATCACTTTGCCTTATGGACCACTGTATGAATATTATTGGTCTGTTTAAAGTATATTAGCAGGGCCTTCCTGGTGGCACAGACAGTTGAGCGCTGCACTGTGAAACTGTCCGCAGCCTCTGCGGCACCCAGTTTTATCCCTGCTGGCCGGCAAGAATCTCACATGGCACGGCAGACCGCTCCCGACTCGCCCGCTGCTCCCCTCAGCAGAGTATTTCGTCAGTCTGTCTGTTCTGTTCCCCGCTCTGTCTCTGATGAATCCTCTCACCCTCCCATGCATCTGGCCTGTACCCCAGTTCTTGTATAAATAAATAAATCTTTAAAATAAATAAATAAATAAAGTATATTAGCAGGGGCTCCCTGGTGGCTCAAGGGGTTAAACACAGCACTAAGAAGCCACCCGCAGCCTCTGCAGCACAAGTTCAATCCCCAGCCAGGGAGCTATCCACATGGCGCAGCAGACCTCCCCTGTCTCACCCACTGCTCCCCTCAGCAGTGAATTTCATTCAGTTGCCTGTTCTGCTCCCCATTCTGTCTCTGGTGAATCCTCTCACCCCCGCCCCCCACCCCCCCACACCTCTGGCCTATACCTTTGCTCTTGTATGCATAAATATTAAAAAAAAAATCTTTTTTAAAAATGTATTAATGAATAAGTCAAATGTACAATAACACTTCAAAAATAAAGTTTAATGTAAAAAAAACCTTTTTTTTTTTTAAAAGGATCTGAAGTCAGGTTTATTTTTGTATGAGTTTCAATTCTTTCCCCCAATAATCCTAAAACTCAAAATAAAATTCGTACTCCTCTGGAGTACAGGAGAGAATTACATTTCTCTTTGAAAATATTAAAAAAAAAAAATTCTTTAAAAATTTCTTTAAAGTGCCTAGAAATCCACTGGCCTGTCCTAACCCAGTTTATTGATGATGATGATTATAACTATCACATTAATCATTCTTATTTTTTAAGATTTTTATTTATTTATTTGTTTATTTATTTATGCATACAAGAACTGGGGTGTAGGCCAGAGATACAGAGGCGGTGAGAGGATTCACCAGAGACAAAGTGGGAAGCAGAACAGGCAGACTGACTGAAATACACTGCTGAGGGGAACAGTAGGCCAGACAGGAGAGGTCTGCTGGCCATGTGGGTTTGCTCGCTGGCTGGGATCAAACTCGTGCTGCAGTGGCTGCCTATAGCTTCATAGTGCCAAGTCTTAACTTCCTGCACCACCAGGGAGGCCTCACATTAATCACTGTTAATTGTGATTGCACACAATGTATCATGTTCAAAGTTATCCTAGAGTCTCCCTGGGGGATCCTCTCATCCACCCCCCCACATCTCTGCCTACACCACAGTTTGTCTATGCAAAAATAAACACATCTTTAAAAATAATTATTTAAAAAATAAAACACCATTATAATTTTTAAAAAAGAATAAAATACCTTTACCTCTTACTTGGAGAGCTTCTTGTTTCGTAAGTGGAGCTTTGAGTTCTGCACCTATATTTTCTGCTGTAAAGTTAATTATAAAAAAATTTACAATAAGAAGTTGTTTTCATACAAATCTAAAAACTTATTATCAGCTAACAATCTAACAATGTATAAAAAAGATGATACATCATAGACTGAGTTGGATTTAACCTAGATATACAAATGTAGTTAATTATCAGAAAAGCTATTAATTCCCCTTACCAACAGATTAAAGTTTCAGAAGAAAATTATTGAATAAAATTTAACACCCACGTAAGTTTCAAACCCCTTCATAAAATTAGAATACAAAGGAATTTCCATAAAAAGTAAAACTGACATTGTATTTAAAGATGAAACTTGAGTCGCATTTCTTTAAAATAAGGAAATAAACAAGGACACTGTTGATTCTTCTACTCAAAACTATTATAGAAATAATATGCAATGAAGAAACAATTATTATTAAGTGGTTAATGGAAAAAATGTACAACCATCCACCCAAAATTAAAAGGAAACTGAATGGTATCATGTTTAATAAAGACATCTTTGGACATGAATTCATTGTGATTCCTTGGGAAAGACAAAGTAATTTTAAGTCTCAGGATGTATAAATTTCAGTTTTCAATGAACAACCTCTCTGATAATTTAGCGTTTTGGGAGCAGAACAAAACATTATATAACTTTTATCAGTATTTAATTTAAATAACAAACATTTAGATATCTTACATGCATCTGTGACATAACACTCAATTATATGTTCGCTAAATGAGAAGAAATGAAAAAAAAAGGGAAACTGGAATCTACCTTACAACATAAACTATTCTGGGTAGATCAATGACTTAAATATTAGGGCATTTACATGTCTCATAGATGATAATATAGAATATTTTTATGGCAGAGATTTCTTAAATACATACAAACAACAAACAAAAGGAAATGTGGATAAATTCTGCTGAATTAAAATTCAGGACAAGTTTTCATCAAAAGATCCCTCAAAAAAAGAAAAAGAAACCCTCAAATATATCCATCAAAGAAGAAGATATATCCATTAAGGAGAATAATAAAGATCAAGAATATTTAATTCTGGGCCTCCCCGGTGGCGCAGCGGTTGAGCGCTGGGTTGCGAAGCTGCCCGCAGCCTATGCGGCGCCGGTTCAATTCCCAGCTGCTCTTCGGCCACAGGAGGAGGGTCCCACATGGCGCAGACCTCTCCTGCCGCCCGCTGCTCCCCTCAGCAGTGTACTTCGGTCCTTCTGCCTGCTCTGCTCCCCGCTCTGGCTCTGGTGAATTCTCTCACCCTCCCGTGCTTCTGACTGTACCCAGTGCTTGTATGTATAAACAAACAAACAAACAAATAAATAAAAAAATAAATAAAAATAAAGTTTGTTGTAAAAAAAAAAATATTTAATTCTTCCAAATCAATAAGGACAAATTACCCATTATAAAAAAGGGGCAGAAGAACAAAATTGTCCAGGAAAGGAAATATAAATAGCTAATATGCAGAGATGTTAACAGATGTTAAGAGAATCCAAACAAACCCACAAAATGTCATTTTACAACGATCAGATTAGGAAAAATTACAAAATATGGCAATGCCTAATGCTGGCAAGAGTATGGGGCAACGGGCCTCCCCTGGTGGCGCAGCAGTTGAGCGCTGGGCTTTGAAGCTGCCTGCAGCCTCTGCAGCGCCAGTTCGATCCCAGGCCGCCGGCGAGGGTCCCACATGGCGCGCAGACCTATCTTGCTGCACCCACGGCTCCCCTCAGCAGTGTATTTTGTCAGTCTGCCTGTTCTGTTCCCAGCTCTGGCTCAGGTGAATTCTCTCACCCTCCTGTGCTTCTGACTGTACCCAATGCTTGTATAAATAAATAAATTAATTTAAAAAAAAAAAAAAGAGTATGGGGCAACAAGAGCCTCCACCACTGGTAGAAATACAAACAGGCATATTTATTTTGGTAAACAAGTTGGCATTCTCTAATACAGTTGCATACTTATAACCTAGCAATTTCACATCTAGATCAATATACTTGGTTTATATAGAAACGTGCACAAAGGAATAAGGAAGGATAACTGTATGAATGACCAAAACAGCAACTGTGCTGCAATGTTTCAAACTGTAAACCCAAATACCCATAAGCAAGATAAATAGCCCATGTCACATTCATACATTCCATACAGCAATGAATAATAATAAACATAATAATGACTTATTTAAGTCCTTACCATGTGCCAAGCACTATTCTAAGCAATTTTCATTTATTAAGTCATTTAACTCACACAACAGCCCTAAAAAAGTACATGCTATAATTATCGCCATGAAAATTAATGAACTATACACATAGGATAAATCTTAGCAACAAAAATTTAATGAAAAAAGTAAATCACAAGACAATCAGCTACCACAATAAAGTATAAAAACAAGTTAAATAATTAGGGATATATAAAAATTTCAAACCCTAATTCCTTGTTTTAAAATCAAGGGACGGAAACACAAAATTCAGGAAAAGTCCCATGAGTTCACACTGTGCAGGAGAATGTGAGGAAAATGTGATAAATAATATAAGGTTGTTAGGTTGAGTGGTAAATTTGCAAGTATTGATTTTACCATGTGTCGTAACTTCCATGTACATTGGATATATTCTTTTACATGCATCAAATATTTTCTAACAAAAATTTCACCCTTCTTCTATTTATATACTCAGAGTTTACTAATTAACTAATAGTAACTAGGCATTTATCATTTTTCATGTACTGTGTGTACTATATGGTTTATAGACATCATTTTATCTCACAAAACTGCTTTGAGTACCATTACTATTATCATGAGCTTATAGATGAGCAAACTTTATGTGCAGGAAAGTGTAACTTCTCCCAAAATCACAGTTAACATTTTAATTGTAGAGCCAAAGTCAGGACTCAAAGGCAAGTCATTTTGATTAATCTATAACCTTAACCACTTTCCTATATTGCCTTTATGTTTAAAATAGCATTTAAAGGGCCTCCCTGGTGGCACAAGGGGTTAAGTTACAGCACTATGAAGCTATCAGCAGCCACTACAGCATGAGTTCCATCCCTGACCAGGGAGCTACCCACATTGCGCAAAAAACCTCTTCTGTTTCACCCACTGCTCCCTTCAGCAGTGTATTTCAGTCAATCTGTCTGTTTTGCTCCCCACTGTCTCTGGTGAATCCTCTCACACCACTCCCCCACCCCCCACACCTCTTGTCTACACCCCAGCTCTTGTATGCATAAATAAATAAAATAAATCTTAAAAATAGCATTTGATTCATGAGTTGATATGGGGAAAATTTCATGGGGAGAAAAAAACAGGCTGGAAATAAAGCTGAATTAGCAACATGGAAATCACTAGCAACCTTACGACAACATTAGGTTTAGCAAGAAGAATCTGAATGGCGGCAACAGGCTGAGGTAAGAAAGGAATAGAATGCAATGAGTACTTATTTAATATACTAAGCCTATGTTAAAGCAATTCAGCCTTTTATTTTAATATCATCTGGAGATATTCACATTTGATTTTTTTAATTTTGTTAGCATTAGGATTCTGCCTGTCTTTAAAAAAATTTACTGAGATATGAGTGACATATACTATTGTGTACGTTTAAGGTCAACAACATAATGGCTTGATACATTTATATATTACAATATGATCAACACCATAGCATTAGTTAGCTAGCTACCACTTCTATCTTTTAGTATTTTTAAACTTTGGAATTTGCCATCTTATCCTAAATAAAATATATCACTCTGTTCTCCTCATGCTCTATAGCTCAGAACTCAATTTGACTCTTCTGTCCTGAATCAGATCTCATACCACCAGTTTGAAACTCCTACTCCAAGTCAGCAAATACATTTCAGTTGCTGTTCTGCTTGTTTTCCTACCCCACAGCCTTTTACAAGACACAGCCTCAGGCAACAAATGGAGTGGCTGGGGTCAGGGGACTGGTTTTTTGAACAACGATTCTGATTCAAGCACCTAACTATTTAAATAGCACTTGAAGATCCATTACTCCAAGCAAGCCAAACTCCTGGTTCCTGTTTATAGAACTAGAGCCCAACACGTTCTGTTCTACTTCATACATATAGTCCAGCTGTGTCTTCAGTTTTCTGTTTTTACATTCTATCACTCCAGTAAGTGAGAAGTACAAGGGGTACCTCAACATACCTATTCACAGTATCACCTTGATCAGAATTTCTGCCTATACAAAGATCTACCTTTTTCAAAGGCATTTATGAACAAATTAAAAGGCCAACAAAGCACTAATAAAGGTAAAACAATCTGAAATAGCAAAACTGTTCATATTATGATTTTTAGTATATTTCTTAATTATTTTTCAGTGAAAATCAACAGTGGAGATGATTTAACATTGTTTTAATAACTAAAATCTGCAGAAAACCTTACAAGACTGATTATTCACCAATGTCTAAGTAGGTTTCAATGGCATATTACAACATTAAAAACACTGCTACTCAGGCCTCCCTGGTGGCACAAGGGGTTAAGCACCACACTATGAAGCAATCCGCAGCCTCTGCAGCACAAGTTCAATCCCCGCCGGCCAGGGAGCAACCCACATGGTGCAGCAGACCTCTCCTGTCTCGCCCGCTGCTCCCCTCAGCAATTTACTTCGGTCAATCTGCCTGTTCTGTTCCCCACTCTGTCTCTGGTGAATTCTCTCACCCCTGCATCTCTGGCCTGTACCCCAGCTCTTGTACGCATGAATAATTTTAGAGAGAAAAAAACACTCCTACTCAAGTAATAACTATAGCTTGTAAAACCTGACATTGAATAGCTAGATGATAAAAAAAGCTAAATGATTATCAATTTTTGTCCAGTTACACAGTAAGCAAATTCTAAAACATCTTTATCTATAGAACCTATGTACCAATTTCTAAAAATTTTGCTTTGGGGAATAGACAGCAAGGCAGAGAAAAGCAAGAGAGGTGGTGAAGTGAGTTTTCAACATTCATCTAATGTTGGAACAACTAAAATCTGTCAAAATTTTCAGAGACAGGGACTCCCTGATGGT